TACCTTTTCTTGTACATGAATATGAATGTACTTATGCACACACACACACACACACAACGGCTCAGAAGGTCTGTGAATTGTCTTATTTGGAAATTTACTGGCATTGAATTCTTTAATTATCGTAAAAAACTCTATCTTTTAGGTGTGTCAATGACTCCCTTTGCCTTTTTGGATCAGACTTAGATGCCTAAATCCGGTATTTTAAGGCCCAGCCTCCCAAGCTAAATTTACCAAGCCACTTTCCCATAATCTTTTCTTCACCCTTCCAAGTCATGTGCTTTCCTGTTCCAAATTAAGATTCACTCCTGTAAGTCCTTGGGTCGCCGTCATCATGGTAGTAATGATTTTGTTGCGGTAAAAATCTTCCTTCTGGAATTTCTTCCAAGTCTGGATCTTCAATAGCAGTTCTTTGTCTTTTTCCTTTCCCCTCTGATAATGTCATTTGTGTGTGTTGTGTGTGTGTGTTTTGTGTGTGTGTGTGTGTTCTCTGCATCATGTAGTACTCTGTGTGTGTGTGGTACCTTGGTGGTATTTAACATGTTTATTGAGTGAACCATAGACTATGGAATTGGAACGAATATTAAGAAATCGTCTAGTTTTGGACATTTCTTCAGCTTACTTTTGTAAATACATGTTGGAGTCTTAATAGGATGAGCGGGGAACACACGAGAGAGTTCGGGCCTGGCTGGGAAATATGGCACCAAACACGCAAGTCCCTGTCCTGTTTGTTTCAGGGTCTCCAGGGGCCGGCTGGAGGTTTCAGGGGCCAGCCCCCTGAGCAGATACTGTTCTGCCTCTTGTAGTACAAAGTTTCTTGATCTCATCACTCATGAAGGACAGAAGCTTTAGAGCAGTAGATGCACAGTCATAATCAAACTCGTGATCATCATGTGTCTTTGCTCCTAGATTTTAGAAGTTTTCATTGTGTTGACTTGCCTTTGACACAGGTGGTCATTGATGGATTGTTCTTTTTTTTTTTTAATTTACTGATTAAACAGTGACTTTAAGAACATGGAAGGTGGGGCTGGGGATGCAGGAACGCGTTGCACAGTTGCTGGGCTTGTCTCTGAAATGGAGAGTTCGCGTTTAAGAGGCTCTTCTGCATGGATGTGGATTATTTGAGACCAGAATATAAACGCCTATGTTTAGATGCAGCTATCTCTCATAATGTCTGGCTTCCTTTTTCCATATATTAAACGATAGGGTTGAAGAATTTTCACATAGTTTGGAACAAAAACAGATGCATTTCTGTAAGTCAGAGGTCTGTGTGCTTGCAAGTAATTGAAAGCTAGTAGAAGTAGTTTAAGATGTAGGAAATCTGAGCCATGACTGATAATGAGAAGACTCGTTTGTAAACCTTTGCTCACTGAGCATTAGTCTTAAATTGCTTAAAAATATTTTATTTTTTTAAAGATTTTATTTATTTGAGAGAGAGAGAGAAAGAGCGTGCAGGAGCAGGGGGGAGGGGCAGAGGCAGAGGGAGAAGCAGGCTCCCCTCTGAGCAGGGAGCCCGACACGGGGCTCCATCCCAGGACCCCGGGATCATGCCTTGAGCCGAAGGCAGACGCTTCACCGACCGAGCCACCCAGGCGCCCCTCACTTGCTTAAAAAATTTTAATGTCATTGAGATAAACTACTGTTAACACCATTTTAATTTTTTAAAAATACTGATGTCATTAATATTTTATTTTCATCTCACATATGGCCTTGTATGATTTTGATGTGAATGGTATATTTTATGGGTGAGCAGAGAGAGAGAGACACTTGGTAGTTGACAGACAAGCACATGACCACTCCAGGAAGGAGGGAAGAAAATATGTGATTTCTGCATGAAATGATCCCCTCTTTACCTAGAGATAGAGTTTGATGCAGAATACACTGAAATCGTTAACAATAAACACAACACTAGCTGCAGCTCTGGAAGGAGGTTATCTGAGGGGCAAATTGTTGCCCCTAAGCCTTGATGCTTTATTTCTAAGGAAAACAGCCAGTGCTTGGTCCCACCTGACAACTGTGAATAAAATAAGGCAGTTGTTAGGGGACATCTAGTGGTGTAGGGTTCTGGGTGCTGTAGAGTTTTCAGCACAACACTGAAATCAGTATGGGGAAATCTGGTTAGGGCTTGGAGCATTGATCCAGGAGGGGTGTAAAGATGGCCAAGGACTTCAAGTCAGCAGTCAAGGTCAAACTGAGATCCTGGGATGTAGAGAGGGTCCGGCAGCCCTGCATCAGCCATACTTGGAAGGCTGGCTCTGCTCAGCGCAAAGGTAGGGACAGAAGTATCTGGGGCAAAGAGTGGGCACAGAGCTGAAGACCGGTGGGTAGACCAGAAGCCCAGAATGTGGTCAGGAATGGCGGATGGCAGAAATAGAAAGGAGAAACAAAGCCAGTTGATGGATCGAAGTTGCAAGGAGAGCGCCAGGGGCGGAGGCAGCCAAAAGTTACACAGTTCCTATTATTGGTGAGCCACATCTCGAGAATGTTTAGCCTTGTCGCTGTGAGTAATGAGGGGGAACATGGCAGCAAGGAGGGACATCTGATAGCAGAGAGAAGCAGAACTTCTGTGAAAACCTTCCCTTCGTCTGGGCCATTTATTATACAGTTGACCCTTCAACCGTGTGGATTTGAGCTCCACTTACACGCAGATTTTTTCGATAGATACAGTCGAGTGCTAGAAATGGGTTCTCTCCATGATTTTCTGACTAACATTTTCTCTAGCGTACTTTATTGCAAGAATACGGTCTATCATACAGACAACATACAAAATATGTGTTAATCGACTGTTTATGGGATCAGTAAGGCTTTTCTGGTCAGAAGTAGGCTCATAACTTTGGTGAGTCGAAAGTTACGTGCAGATTCTCGACTGTGCGTGAGGTTGGCGCCCCTAACCGCCGCGTTGTTCAAGGCTCAGCTGGAGTTACACGTGCGTCCTTTGTACCTGAGGACATTTCTGTCTTGTCAAACAGGAGAATAATGACTGCTTCACCCTGTTGAGCATATTCAGGCAAAGTTTATGTTATAGTACGATTTGGGAGTAATTCCTTCTTTCAGAAGGGGAAAGGGTTCTTGTACTTAAAAGGGGAAGAGTATTTGCGCAACCCACTAATGTGCCTCAGTTCCCACAGGTGGTGAGATATGGGGGGTGTTGATGTCTGACAGGAACTATAACGTTTAATCTTTTCATTCAGGTATCAGCTCATGCTTTTCGGTTCAGGTTTACCGTTTTTGTCTCATCCCCCGGTGGTTTCTGGTCCTGCCTTGGCACTGTGGTTGATGTGTGTTAATATGCATTAACTCTCTGTACTGTTTCTTTGGTTTTTTTTTTTCTGAGCCAGCTTCCCAGCCACTGTTAAAGATAAACGCCGTAGGGACGCCTGGGTGGCTCAGTCGGTGAAGCGTCTGCCTTCGGCTCGGGTCATGATGTGACCTGATGCCAGACGCCTATTAAACTGGGGGTGTTGCTCATCTTTATTGAGCAGGAGTCGGGTTCTGATCGGGGTCCTGGGATCAAGCCCAGCGTCAGGCTCCCTGCTCAGCGGGGAGTGTGCCTCTCCCTCTGCCCTCCCCACCCCCTCTCCTGCTCACTAGGTCTTTCTCAAATAAATAAATAAAATCTTTAAAAAAACCCTGCTGTATTACCAGTATAAAACAATAAAATCATCTCCTGCGTAAGAATATTTCCTTGTGCTTTGCCTCATATGCATATGATTTTTGTCAAGTGCTGGTTGTTAAGTTCTTAAGGAATTTGTAAAGGTTGAGAACGGGCTGGCTCTGTCGGTGAGTTTTTGTCATATGTCGCACACTGAACACATCCCTTCTTGTTGGTCACCCCCTCACCCCGCCCCCGGATGCAGCGCGGTTGGCTTTGGCCAGGCCCGGCATTTATTGCGAGTCTGCACCTTCTTTGGTGACGAGTGGAGTGATGGGGAGTTTTGTAAGCAGGTCTTCTGTGGTCTCCTGTGCTCCACCAACTGCACCAACCAGCTTTTGCGAGGGGAGCAGCCCCAGCCCCGTGGGACTCCGCGCGACGATCCTGAGTCGCGTGTGGAATGACATCTTTGAATTAATTAAACATCCACTTTAGATTTGCAGATAAAAGAAAGTAACAGGTCCCTCAGTATTTGTGTACTTCCCAGCCAATTGATGTATTTAGAAATTGCAGGATATATTTGCAGCTGTTAGGCCCTCAGGGACGGGCTGCAAATAAGTTTATTTATCCACTAGCTTTTATCCAGGCGGTGAGTTATGAGATGACCTCCATCTCAGCAAAATAAATCCTGGTATCCAGAGTCCAGCCAGCCTCATCTATTGCTGGATAGGGAAAGTGGATATTGAAATTTGTTTTCTTGGGAAGGCAGGAAGGCTCTATCTTGTACACATAAGGTTGCTGTGAGTGGGTTATAAAACTGCCAGACGCCTATTAAACTGGGGGTGTTGCTCATCTTTATTGAGCAGGAGTCGGGTTCTGATCGTGTGCAGGGCTGTGTTGGACCTTTATATGCACGCATTCCCAGGATCGGCGGCTTACCACCAGTACCTGATAAGCTATATGCTCTTGGGCGCAGGAGACAGGGACGAGCCGTGTCAGCCACAGGGTCTCCCCGAAGCCCTGCGAAGTAGCTCCAGGAGCAAGAGGCCACGTTTCCTGAAGATGCGCCTGCTGTGTGTTGCAGATGACTGATTGCCTCCATTATTCTGCTGTGCTTCGATTAGAGCACCTAGGAAGATCAAAGCAGGGCAACGTGAATTTTTTTGCTTAGCGTAAATTTAAGCGTGGCCACAAAGCCTTGTGTCCTTCCCTTGGAAAAACAGTTTAGCCCGCAGAAAATAATTAAATCTGCGGTATCTTGCAATAATGAGAAATTTGAAACGGCGAGGGTTAATTATTTCAATCCGACTTTAGTTACCCAATAAAATGTTTAAGGAGAGCGTCCAGGCAGCGCCCGAGGTGGTTTACAGTGCCATCAACTTTCAGCGTCTCTGTCCTTTTTCCCCTGCAGGATCATGCAGATCTGCGAAGCCATTTCTTCACAGTTGGGATGAAGCTAGAAACAGTGAATTTGAGCGAGCCCTTTCATATCTGTCCTGCATCAGTGACCAAGGTGAGCTTCCCTCCCTTGCTCTCCGCCTCCCGCCGATCTGCTCACAGTGGGCCAGATGGAAAGTGCTGGTGCAGGGGCGGGGCCACAGCTCAGTGAGCAGGACAGCACACCGGCCAGGGACCACCTTCTCCCCGGGCCGCGCTGTCCTAAGCGCCCCTTTTGTCACTGGTCACACAGAGCCGGGCCGGTCACGTGCCCTGGTGTTGCAGCAGAGTTTGGGGTTAATACAACATGGACAAGACTGTAGATGCAGGTGTCCCTGAGTGACCTGGAAGGGGGTGCAGGTGCGCGGCTGAGTTTACAGCAGTGAACTCGGCCACGAATATGTGCCACCTTCTGTGGTTGGCCAGGGTCATATCCACGCGTCTGTTTGTTCCCATCTCGTAGCACGAGCTGCTCGGTAGTTGCACACGGTAATCATTGCAGTAGTAACTTGGTTCTCGTCCGCTGACAGTCCTTGGTGTGATCGACTTGCGTTCGGGAAATGCCGGCCAGGGACCCATCTCCAGTGTCTGTCCCCACGTCTGCTTCCTTTTTGCCGCTGGCTTTTCCTTCACTAAAGGAAGAGCCTGCCTCTACGTTTCGCAGACTTGAAATGAAATTACCTTTGAACGTGATGTTATTTTTACGACGGGCTGATGGTCTTTCAGATTGTAATTTCCCTTGGCCGTGCAGATAATCTCACGGAAGTCACCTGTGGAAGTCACCCCTACAGTACGCGTTTCCAACTTAAGTGTCCTGTAACAGTTGGCGGGGGAAAGTAAGAAACCCAGCATTCTTACCCAGTGTGTGTTTTAGTTAATGGCCTTTTGTGAGGGAACTTAATTAACGGTCCAGAAGTCAATTCCATTTTAATTTCTTTTACCCAAGAAGACTGGATTTGTTAATACAGTGATGAGTGTCTTAGAGTCATTTTGTATGCTCTTTTTTAAATTCATGATTTGGTAAAATTGAGAAATACAACGGTGATAATGTATTTCAGAGTATGGAAAATGGTTATAATCATGGAATGCCTTTTTCTTTTTTTCCAAATATTTTTTCTTTAGAACATAAATTACTTTTATATAACACTTAGAGTACTTTATGTAAAGAATAACTGCCCGCCTGAGAAAAATACTGACTTAGGCTTTGCAGCATGGTTTTGGGGGTTGCAATTTATGCCCTCACAGACATACACCGTGCATTAAAAGCCTTTTTATTTAAATTGACTTTTGGGGTTCTTGAATGTGTATTCTGGTAGGTGCACATTTTCCCAGAACTGATGAGTGGTATCTTGCGGAAGCCTGGCCAGGATTTCCCTTTGTTCCAGCAGCAGCCGATACGGTGAAGCCAGCTGCCGGTTTACCTGGATGCATATTACCCAGTCCTCTTTCTAAGAGGCTAAGTGTCAGCTTCGCCTGGTGTTTCTACAGTAAAGGAAACAGGTGCAGACGTGCTGAGTCCTATTAGTAGTGAACTCACACTTCCATGCCTGTAAATAATTGTAATCGATCATGTTAGAATGTGGCATGCTACTTATGGTTAGGTTTAGCCCAAATATCCTCGTCTTGTTGGATAGATTTCCAGTAACAGTAGTTTAGTTTCCTGATAAATAATTTTATCTCTAAATAAAACTTCTTGGGGTTGGGACCAGGGGGAGGATATTTTCTCTGATTTTTTTTTTTAAGGTACACGTTTTCTTTCTTTTCTTTTCTTGTATTTATTTATTTTTTTCATTTTATTATGTTATGTTAATCACCGTACATTACATCATTAGTTTTTGATGTAGTGATCCACGATCCATTGTTTTCGTATAACACCCAGTGCTCCACGCAGAACGTGCCCTCCTTAATACCCATCACCGGGCTAACCCATCCCCCCACCGCCGTCCCCTCTAGAACCCTCAGATTGTTTCTCAGAGTCCATAGTCTCTCATGGTTCGTCTTCCCCTCCGATTTCCCCCTCTTCATTTTTCCCTTCCTTCTCCTAATGTCCTCCATGCTATTCCTTATGTTCCACAAATACGTGAAACCATATAATAATTGACTTTCTCTGCTTGACTTATTTCACTTAGCATAATCTCCTCCAGTCCCATCCATGTGGATGTAAAAGTTTGGGTATTCATCCTTTCTGATGGCTGAGTAATATTCCATTGTATATATGGTACACGTTTTCTTTTTCATTTTAGTTTTCCTTACCCTTTTTACCAAAGATAACACACCCAGTCTTTCCATTCTGCATGCATCCCTTTTTCTTCTCCTGTTGGACCTCTGTTGTAGAACACATGGATTGAAAAAATGTGGGCTTTGGCCTCTTAGCACATAGATGGGCATGTCCCCAGGTTCAAGACTCCCTACATAGAGTGAAATATCAGGATATTCTTAATGTAGTCGGTATTTATAATTAAACACATTCCTCCTAACACTGGAAAAGGTTTTAGAATATTATGTTTGAGAATATAACGCTGCGCTGTTACTACTCATCATAATGAAATTTTCATTTTAATTTTCCTCGAGGCTTTTCTTCATGGCACACCTGTTGAAGGAATAAATAAATAACATTAAAGCCGATAGACAGGAAAGCAGTTAACTGTGGCACAGATCCTGGATGAAATGCCCAGCCTTTAGCCATACAGTGAGATTATAGATTATGTTTTTGGTGGTCCAGAACAGTATGAAACTGACAGATGATGATGACGATGACCTGTGTATGTGAAATCTGTCATATTGTTTAGATAAACAGTCTTGGTTCTGTTTCTTTTATGGCTACCTCTGAGCCACATAGTCTTGGGCCGGTTGCTTACCTGCTCTAGGTTTTACTTCTGAGACCTGCAGGTTCTAGACCTGATCAGTACTTCTGGACATGTGAAACATAACCCTGATGAATTTGAAGAAACTGATTTACCTATTTTCTGAAGTACACACACACGAATGTGCATTTTAATAGGTTTTAGAGATTCCTTAGTGTGCATCTTTACAGGGTCCAGTGGTGCTAAGAGATTCAGCCACCAGAATCCTGCACTTTTAATATACGTGTGTGTGTGTGTGTGTGTGTCCATGCACACGCATATGAGACTCCATCCCATCCCATTGGCATTTTTAAGCACTATTCTGGACACTGGGAACGTAGACAAAAGTCCCTGCTTTTACAGAGCTTATATTTTCATGGCAGCGGGGGGCGGAGACAAAGTCAGTAAATCCATATAGAATGTTATGTGTTCAGCGCTAAGGAGAAAGACACAGTGGGGAAGGGACAAGCAGAGGGTGGAAGCCAGAGTGCGGGATGTGGTTTTAAAACGGGCTGCAGGGAAGACCTCTCTGGGAAGGTGAGGGTTGGTCCTTTGCTCTGTAAAGTCTACTTTCAAAGGCAGACCTCAGGCAGCACAACAACAGCCGTTTACCAGAATTAGCATGGAGGAGAACAGAAGTGAGTGCACTCTGCTGCTTTGCTTTGAATTAGACGGCTTCCAGAAGATACTTTGGAAATGAAGCAGCCAGAGGAATCAGAGCTTTAGTAAGTGTTAGGGTTTCCTAAGCAAGACTGGTTTATGTCTGTCGAGCTCGTAAAGTGATGCCTTTCTCCCTGGCCGGTTTCACATACTTTAGGTTCTTTAACCCCATCGTGCTTTAAAGTGCTGGGTCCCTCTCGGTTTTGCGTTCTACTCTTCTTGTTCCTAGTTCTTCACTGATGTTTTCTTTTTCCCTACATGCAGTGGCTGTGTGTGCAGTTCCTGTGTACAAAGCATTTTCTGTGCATTGTGGGAACACCCTGATGAGTAACAAAGAGGAGACTGCCCTCAGAGGATCTGTTGGGGGAGAGCGATTTGGGATCAGCCCCCAGGAAGGAATGAGGACTTTCAGGACAGAGGTGCAGGGGTGAAGCTTCCGGGCCACAGAGCAGGGGCCCTACACTCAAACCGGAGTGGTCAGGGAAACGTTCCAGCAGCATTGACTTTCAGGATGCACCTTGAAAAATACACTGTGTTTTGAAAGTGCTTCGGCACAGTGGGTGTTGAGGCTGGGAGGATGCAGGGATGTGCCTGGGGGGTGATTCTTCTTGGGCTGGAGCCTGGGGTCGTTGCAGGGCTGGGAGGCCGGATGAAGCCAGAAGTCCCCAAGTCAGCTGGGGGAGCTTCTTGAGAGATCTGGTGTGAGCTCGTGGGTCCCTGCTGTGGACAAGGAGAAACCGCCGACCTTCCAGGGCCCATCTTGGCATTGCTTGTAGGCCTGGCTTTGTCTTCCTGCATAAGTTTGGTTTTCTTCCAGCCCTGACTGTCAGTTGACTTCTCTAAAGTCACCCATGCTGTTTCCTTCTCTGTTTTATATGTGTACTACTCATTCGCTTCTCTTTCCATTAAAATGACTGGAGTGATCAACTCTTAACCGATAAGCAACTGGATCAATTTAGTAATATACATCGAGGTGCCGGTTTGTGCTGAAATCGTTTTTGATGAAATGTATTTATTGCCTTTGGAAGCTTGCTAGCATTTCATACTAGCTTCACATGAAAATCCCACGGAATTAACCCTCGGCTCTGTGGTTTGTTTTTTCTTTCAGGTTTTTAACAATCATTTTTTTCAAGTGACCATTGACGACCTAAGACCAGAACCTAGTAGACTCTCAATGCTGTGCCATGCGGATTCTTTGGGGATTTTACCAGTGCAGTGGTGCCTTAAAAACGGAGCCAATCTCACCCCTCCCAAAGGTTTGTATTCTGCGAAAATGTGCAGGGTTTGGGTGGTTCAGGAGGGCGTCCTCCTGTCGCCGAAGTGTGCCTTTGTCAATCTCGAGAAGTTTAGCTTGTAAACAACTTCAGCATCGTGGGAGAGGTGTGTCTGGCAGGTGGCTTGACACAGGAGCGTATCCCAGCTCTCTCCCCTGGTGAGGTGCGTGACTTTGGGCTTCTCCAGATGTCCACTTCTGTCCCTCCCAGTTCCCTGGTGGTCATCGTGTGCGGGGCCGCTGGTGCGTGCTGACAGAGGGCACAGCATCGCTAGACGATCAGGGTTCAACCCAAACGTGTCTGAGAAGTGGCTTTAAAAATGCAACAAGGGGTGCCTTGGGTGGCTCAGCCGTTTGAACATCTGTCTCCATCTCAGGTCTTGATCTCAGGGTTGTGAGTTCGAGCCCCGCGTTGGGCTCCAAGGAAGAAGCATTTCTTTCCATTTTTATTTCCAGTAATTTAAATTTTCCCCAGAGCTCGGTCACTCTCTGATAGCCAACAATTTGATGCACTAACACATCAAAATAATTCAGTCGGGAGCCGGGTTGCACATAATTTCAAATTGGGACCAGGTACCGCATCCTTGTTGGTAAGGACTGCACTTGCCGTTCTGTAACATGGTTTGCTGTCCCTGACAGTTGTGACGTTCATGCAGGGAAGAGAGCAGCCAGATGGGGAGGGGGTGGGAAGGAAAACAGAGGGCATGATAGAGTAACAGAAGAGGAGATGGGAAGAGATGACCTAGAAGAATAAACCTTACAGCAGGATTTTAACAGCAACCCACAGATAATACAGGGGTTCTGTGCTGACCTTTCCAGCTCGCCAGGGGCTGGATTGTGGGTGGTGCCCGCCATGCTGGGAGGTTAACGCCTGCACGTTGGGTTCCAGATGCAGCCTTTTATCATGCTGCTCTGTCCTGAGCTCCACTGGGCTCCCTCCCTCTGTCCTCCACGCTCATCCCCACTGGGGAGACACCTGTTGAGTGTTTCCACCTCTGCCGTTGATCCTTCTCATTAGGGGGCTGCAGTGGCAAAATGTGGTCTCGTTACAATGTGGTGACCTTTTAGAGACCACTGTTTGCCCTGTTGAATGTGCCTAACTCATTTCATCCTCAAAATGAGCATGGCCCTGGGATGGGGCTTAGTCGCAGAGAGCATCTGTGACCTGCCCAAGGCCACATCACGTGGATGGTAAGTAATAGTGAGGGTGTCGGCATCCTGCTGGCCCTCACAGGTGTCTCTGGCCAGATCGTGCTTCCGTCTTCAAGACTGTCAAATGGGACACCTGCGGGATTCTGCGGGTGCTCTGCAGGGTCAAACAATAACGTGAGTCTAGGTATCTTTTTAATTTTTTTTAAGATTTTATTTATTTATTTGAGAGAGGGAATGAAAGAGAGAGAGCACAAGAGGGGGGAGGGTCAGAGGGAGAAGCAGACTTCCCTGCCGAGCAGGGACCCGGATGCGGGACTCGATCCCTGGACCCTAGGATCATGACCTGAGCCGAAGGCAGTCGCTCAACCAACGGAGCCACCCAGGCGCCCGTGAGTCTAGGTATCTTTTTAATCCTGTTGGTCCTACAGGTCTTTTATTGTGAACCATCTTGTGGTAGCAGATCAGGGAAATCTTTCTCTGCTGCAGAATTTAACAGCAGGTCACTTGCGGAGTTTGAAAGTCCCATGGACCATCTCTACTTCCTGCTGACTTCTGTAATTGGAGCATTTGTATGGATGGCTCCACGTCTTTGAAGAAAGACTTCTTCTAGATACCTGAAATGCTGCGTGGTTGCACTTTCTAAAGTCCTAAGTAGTAATAAGTTCCCTTTAAGAATTTAAAGAAAAAAATCAGTTGGGTGGAAAAAAAGGGGGCAAATATTCGTATATGCATTTACGCTGCTTGATTATTCCATTAGGCAGGGGTTAAATATTTACCAGATTTTTGGTTTACCAAAATGTTTACCAAATGTCTCTAGGTTTTTTAAATATTTTTTATGAACTTTTAAGTGTTAGAAATATGTTTTAGAAAAGAGGTTGTTGGCATAGTTTGGGTATTTATTTGGAAAAGGGGTGTGCCTATTTGGATAATTGCATTTCATGATATTTGGAGAAATACAATTGGAGAATTACGGTTCTAGGGAATAATTTTTCCAAGTGCCTGTGGTTATATAACAGAGTCTTGGCTTTAAATACTGAGCTCTCATTGTTTTGTGAGAGTATGTTTGTTTTATATATTTATATATATGTTTTGCATGTAGTAAAATATATTTATTTTTGTAATTAAAATGAATTAAAATTGAGAGGTGGTGTTGGAGGTTTCTGTAGTGGTGATTTTATGATTTTCTTGTGAGGTAGCTTGTCACGTCTTACGTGTCAACAGCAGGGCTGTGGAGCATTCTATAGAATTTTTTTCAGACACCATTCTTTGCTTTCTTAATGTATGAATATAGACGCTCTTCTTTCTTAGAAAAGTTGTTCTTAACTTAAATTCTGAGCTATTTTATACTTAGAGTATGCAGGATTTATTAGACATGTTGAGAAGAGAGTTTCATTGTTTTCCACGAATGTTACTAACATCCTTTAGATTTCTGTTAGAACCATAAACACCACTTACAGTTACAACATGTTGCCTGATCCCCAAAAGATATTATCCTACTTGCTCCCCAGTGGGAAGCCGCTGATGAAGCAAAAGATATCTGACGGTCTGGGGGGAGATTTGCAGAGAACATAGACCCGTACTGACATTGTTTTGACTCTCTTTCTTAATTAAAAAAGAAAAATCTGTCTCCAGACTTTAGAGACAGATAGTGTGTAGGCTAGAATGGATGGGAAGGTTTCAGTAGGTCTCTGTTGAGAGCAAGTGCTTTCCTGGTAAGCAAAGGACAAGAACCTTGGAAGTTTTACTCCATTCGTTTAAAACCAGCACACAACAATTCAATATTATAGGCAATATAAAAAGTGATCAAGCAAGTAGATAAATCAGCTAAGCAGAAGTGTATATTGGTTATCAACCGTGACTTGCTGTTTTTAAACTATTTAATTAACCTCATTGGCATGTCACATCGAGGATGAGCCGTAGAAGGAGAGCAGTAAACATCCCACCCAGGGGATATTAGCAGAAAATACTAAGCCTTTACTTCTGTTGTAAGTCTGTTGTACAATGGGTACACAAAGGCTGGAAGTAAATGGCTTATTCTAGCACTTTGTCTCCACTATTTGGCCATCTTAGTAATAGGCACATACACTGTTAACATGATTTAAGAAGTAAAGGTGTGTTTTTCATTATTACCAAGATGCAAAGTAGTGACCCCTAATTGGTATGGTCTTTACCTAAAGAAAAACCTCAGATGCTGACTGATGAAATTACCCCACTTTGTGATCTGCTGTATTTCAGACGTACCAGAGGGGACAGAAAATAATAAATACCCACACTCCTGGAACCGGTGCTGGCATTTGGCCGCGTTTGATTCAGATTTTTAAAAAAATGAAATAAAGCATTATAGAGTAGAATAGAAGACTGAGTCCCCTTCAACGTCTGTGCCTCACATTCCACATCTGTTCGTCGGTGAATCCCATTGGTACTTTTGGGATCTGACTGTGTGTCATCACGACCACCCAGTCCAGGCCACCATCTGATCTTTCTCTTGGTCTACTGCGGTGGCCTCCTGAACTCCTGAGTGAGACGGTCAGGCTGGTACTGTTAAGATGTACGTCATAGGGGCACCTGGGTGGCTCAGTCGTTAAGCATCTGCCTTCGGCTCAGGTCATGGTCCCAGGGTCCTGGGATTGAGCCCCACGTCGGGCTCCCTGCTCAGCGGGAGTCTGCTTCTCCCTCTCCCACCCCCTCTGCTTGTGTTCCTTCTCTGGCTGTGTCTCCCTCTGTCAAATAAATAAGTAAAATCTTTAAAAAAAAAAAATGTACGTCATGTTGGGCGCCTGGGTGGCTCAGTCGTTAAGTGTCTGCCTTCGGCTCAGGTCATGATCCCAGGGTCCTGGGATCGAGTCCCACATCGGGCTCCCTGCTCCGCGGGAAGCCTGCTTCTCCCTCTCCCACTCCCCCTGCTTGTGTTCCTGCTCTCGCTGTCTCTCTCTCTGTCAAATAAATAAAAAAAAAAAAATGTACGTCATGTTAAGATCGCCGTGTTAAGATGTCCCTCCTGTCCAGAGCCTGCCACCTCACTCGGTGGCAAGTGCAGGTCATGGTCCCAGCCTACAGCTCCCACTAGTTCCCTGTCTGGCCTCATTTCATAGGATGCCCTCCACCCCAGTCCGCCCAGACCCACCGGCCTCCTCGTCCTTCCTGGGACATGGCACTCTGGCCCCCTTACGTCGTCTGTCTTCCTCCTTCTTCTTCAGTCTTGATGGAGGTGCCACCTTTCCGGGGTGGTCTTCCTTCACTCTCCCGTTGAGTATCAATTACAGATCTCTCCCCCCAACATTTGTATCTCCTTCGCTGTGTGGCTTTGCTGCACAAAACTTTTTAGCATGCCAGATACAAGTAATACAAATTTTACGTCTTTGTCCTGTTTTGTGTGTGTCTCTCCACTAAAGCGAAAGATCCACAGAGCAGGGGTTTTTGTCTCGTTCTCTGCTCATCCCCAGTAGCTAGACTAGTGTGGCTGTTGGTCAGTATGCGTTGAGCGTTGAATGAAGTCCTGCCTTCAGAAGTGCTCCACCCTTCCTCTCTGCCATGTCTCGACCGCCCCTTCCATTCTCCCCCCATCCCATACCCACCTTCCTAAACCTGTTGGACTTTTACTGCATGCCTTTGAGGCTCTCATTGTTTGCTTGACAGCAGATCTTTTGGATGTGTGTATACATAGTATCATGCTGTGCCTCTCTTTATGTGACTTTTACCCTGTAGCATCTTGCAGATCTTTCTCCATGTTGATGCAGTCAATTATTTATTCACTTTGCCTGTTGAATGAACAGACCTTAATTCTTGAAATCCATTTCCCATTGAAAGACTTTGAAGGTCTTTCCTGTTTTC